GGGTGTAAAATTACTGCTGTTGTAATCACTTTTGCTAGTCCCCTTACGAGTTGGTTAGGTAGCTGGGAGCAGACTGAGAGTGTTTTACTACTAAAGACAGGAAAGGGAGAAAAAAGAATAAATCTGGTCTAGGATAACAGAGTCAGTGCCAAATTGCTGGTCTTTTTGCCCCAGCTATTGATTTCGGAGTCATCTTTGAGCCTAGATGTGGGCTGTCCCAGAACTCAGAATCCGTATTTCAACATAGTGATGTTATTAGTACATGGCATGAAATGGATTGACAGGGAGAAAAATATTATCCCAAACAGATGGGATAATCATATCAATAAACTAAATCAAACTAGCATGAAAAATGTTTGTCTATGATTTATCTCAGACAAGTTGTTCCATCCATCCCAAAGGCTAAATCCTACATAGATGTGGCAGTTCATTAGAATGACAAATGATGAGCCCCAAAGCAACATGCAAAGCAGCCATAGGAAACAGATGTTTGGCATCTCTTGACTTATAAGTGCTGTGGTACAATCACTCTCGCTTATTTCAGGGAAGGGTCCTAAACAAAATAGCCCCCCCAAACATTCTTCCACTTAACGAGTACTGTTACCATCAATTACTTTAATGACAAATCTAACACAGGGTTTCTTCAAAAAACTTTTGCTAAGAAAGGAGCAAAAAGAAAACGGTTAAAACCCCTCAGCAGGGAAAGGAAGATATTTCCCCCTTAATACTCACATTCTGTTTTCATCTTTGGCAATGAGACCAGAAAGAAACTTTTAAAAAGCAGGTTATCCATATATTCTTATGAGCTCAAGTGATTTTTTTCAGATATAGAGGGCTAACATTTTAGGAAATCTAGGACAAAATCCTATTAATATGCATCAATATTGTGCTGATTATACATGGTATCTGTGTGGTGCATTAAATTCCCTTTAACAAAGGAAAAAAAATACCACATAACTTAGTTCACAGATGTGGGCCAATTAAACAGGGGACGTCAACTTTATAAGACAACAAAGGAACAAGAGGCTGAACACATAGAGAGATGCCCATATTATAACGCACAGACATTATACTTTATTCCAGGAAAAAAAGATCCCACCCCACTACAAAAAATGCTTCAATCTAGAGGGACAAAAAAACAAAATGAGAAAAGCATTTATTTTGGCAGCAGTATTAGAAAATTAGATTCCAGAAGAGGTTCACATTTCCTTTCATATTACAAATGAAGGAATAAGATATTTTGCCAAAACCCCCCAAACCTTTTAAAGGTATTTATGTCTCTATTTAAAATTCAGGTGAGGAGGCTGGTACAGAACTGTACTGTCCAATAGAACTATCATGCAAAACATATACATAATTTAAAATTTTCTAGTGGCCACATTTTTTAAAAAGTGAAATTAGTTTTAATATTTAATTTAACCCCAAATATTATCATTTAAAAATATAATCAGTATAAAAACTACTAGTGAGGTATTTTACTTTTTTTTCATACTAATTCTTCAAAATCTGTAATATATTGGGAGTGCCAAAAAAATGTACACAAGTGGACACTTGGTCAACGTTGCTCAAGCAGTAGTTTGCCATAATCAGAAGTGTCTGGACACTGATGGTAACCACTTTGAGCACCTCTTGTAATTGCAGAAGTTAAATGTGACATGTATTCATCTTTTGTTAGCAATATATAGAGCATTACAGTTTTAATAGTTTTCCTTTTTTAAAATGTGTATACATTTTTTTTGGCACCCTCTGTATTTTACACTCATAGCACATCACAAATTCTAGAAAATTTTAAGTGCTCACTAGTTCTTTGTGGCTTGTTAGTACCATGCTGGACAGCACTATTCTCTATTATAGAGCTTTCGTTTGCATAACCTGAATGATGATAATTTGCACTAGGGCTTTTTCAGTGGAAAGTTTGGTAATAGTGAATTTTATTATAGAACCCAAAATTATGTATATTTAAAGAGTATGGAGTGCTGTTTTATAAAAAGGTCTAAATCTTTGTGCCATTCATTATAAGCAGTTCCAAGTTTTCAATTAATATGCTTTCAAACGCCAGGGCCCTTAGTCTATTAAAAATGCTGTCCTCTGGTTAGCTGGAGCCTCAGGAGATGTAGACTGCATTGTAGTTTCTTGTTTTTATGCCTACCAGTCTCCATGGCAGGAAAACATGCTACTGCCACAACACATGGGTTATATTCACACGATGGTGATCTCTCTCATTCAGTTTAAGGATGATTTAATGAGTCCATGTTCAATACAATTTCATATACCTTAAA